GATCAACAGCCGATACCGCACCGTGACAATGTCACAAACCAGTAGGTGGCAGTAGTGTTCTTTGACAAACATGGATGCCTCCAGTAAAGCACATTCACATGGAAATTACTCTGAATTAAAAACACTGATCATTGATTGAACAGGATGAAATCATTTCACATTTAAAGAACTTTCAGAAGTTTGAATTCTGAATATGAGCGACTTTTCCGTTAAGGTTACATTTAAGAGAGAAACAGATCAAGAAAGGACAAAAGGACATTTAGGAAAACAAAAGATGGAAAATGAAGCAGCATATTAATCTGAGGCACTATTAGCACAACATTATAAATCAATCCACATATAAGAGGGATTTGGAGGTTCTGTAAAATGCTTTGTTAGAAATAAGCTGGATGGAAAAGTTTGGGAACTCTGCTGCAGATATTTAACACTGTGTGCAGAATTATCAGGCAAGTTGTATTTTTGAGGATTATTTTTATTATTGGGCCACAGACTTCTTAATATCAAAGTTTCATATTTTTGGAAGTTGATGTGTTTTTCTTTAGATTTTTCCATTTTATGAGGATGTCTGTGTGTTCAGGTAAATATTACTGAGCAGAATTATTAGGCAACATGATAAAAAACAAATATATACCCATCCAATATGTTTATTTTCACCAGGTAAACCAATATAACAACTCAAAATTCAGAATTAAACATTTGCGACATTTAGAAACAAAACAGAAAAACAAATCAGTGACCAATCTAGCCTCCTTTCTCCACCATGACGCTCTAAATCCTTCCATCCATAGATTCTGTCAGAGTCTTGATCTGTTTTTGATCCTCATGGCGTGCAGCAGCCACCACAGCCTCCCAGACACTGTTTTCCCTCTGTTTTCATGAAGGACCGCAGGTTCTCCATGGGGTTCAGATCAGGTGATCAAGGGGACCATGTCATTATTTTTCTCCTGTTAGCCTTTTTCTGGCCGCCACGCTGTGGTGTATTCTGATGCGTGTGACGGAGCATCGTCCTGCAGGAATATCAGGTTTTTCTTGAATGATGGCGACTTCTTCTTGAACCGCTGTTTTAAGAAGGTGTCTTCCAGAAACTGGCAGCAGGTCTGGGAGTTGATCTTGACTCCATCATCAACCTGAAAAGGTCCCACAAGCTCATCTTTGATGATAGCAGCCCATAGCATTACCCCACCTCCACCTTACTGGCGTCTGAGTGGAACTTGCTGCCCTTTACTGATCCAGCCTGGCGCCCATCCATCCATCTGGACCATCTAGACTAGCTCTCATTCCATCAGACCAAAACACCTTGGAGGAATCAGTCTGCAGAGATTTCTTGTTCCAATCTTGACGTTTTTTCTTGTGCGTCTTGTTCAAAGGTGGCCTTTTTTCAGCTTTCCTTACCTTGGCCAGGTCCCTGAGTATTGAGCACCTTGTGCTTCTGGGCACTCCAGACATGTTGCAGCTCTGATATATGGCCAAACTGGTGGCTAATGGCTTCCTGGCAGCTTCACGCTTCATCCTTCTCAATTCATGGGGAGTTATTTTGCGTTTTCCAACACGCTTCTTGCGCCCCTGTTGGCTATTTGCCATGAACCGCTTGATTGAGTGATGATCCCGCTTCAACAGCTTGGCAATTTCCAAACTGCTGCCCCCCTTTGAGAGACATCTGACCATTTTTTACTTTTCAGAATCTGTCAAATCTCTTTTCTGACCCATTCTGCCAAAGGAAAGGAAGTTGCCTAATGATTAAGCACACCTTATGTAGGGTGTTGATGTCATTAGGCCACGCCCCTTCTCATTACAGAGATGCACACCACCTGATTTACTTCTTTGGTAGTTGGCTTTCAAGCCTCTACAGCTTGGAGCAGGACAACATGTATGAAAAGGATGATGTGGTGGAAATACTCATTTGCCTAATAGTTCTGCACACAGATTAAAACACAATTCACAAGCAGAAACAACCAAACAGACCGACTGCTGTTGGTCTAATTCTAATTTCTATAGCCCCATTTTCACTACCCTCTGAAAACCAATCTGTGCAAAGCTCTGGTTCCTTATGACCATTTACACATCACGCTAGCACGGTTGCTTGCTTCCTAGTGGCGATCTACAGTACTGATGCTCTCAAGACGTAAACCAGCAAACCAACATGGCGGCGCCCGTCACATTCAGGAAGTTTGCAGACAGTCAGGTGAAGAAGGCAGCCTTTGGGTAAATTAGTTAACAGAGTCGGCTTTTGGGAAGTGGATGCGACAAACGATGGTCTAATCAGGTCTTCCAGACGCAGGAAATAACGACAGACGAGGTTCATCACACTGCTAAGCAGAATGATCACTGGAAATCTTGTGGCACGATAAGGAAGCATGATTAAATGATTAAGGAGGCTGACTGTAAGGAGATGACGCGGTCTGCTCATGCGCTCTTTGTTATCAGAGAACCGAACTAGAACTGAACCGCACCGAGCCCTACTGATGAACTAGAACCAGTTTAGCGCAGTGTTAATTTTGTTGATGAAGACTATGACGAAAAATACTCGTCAACGAACCTTTTTTACAGACTTAAACTAAATAAAAACTAAATAAAAAGTGAGATATGATGACTAAGACTATTACGAAAATAACTGACACTTTAGTCAACGAATAAAAACGAGACTAAACTATTAGGGAGGAACGAATGGTGATCCTATCAGAATTACATTTTTTGTGGGACAAGTTGGAAAGAAATCGAATCAAAAGTTAGTTGCCAACCGCCATAGAAAGAAATCCAGGTGGCGGTAATGCGCCATAAAGCTGTGCGAAGAAGGAGAAGAAGAAGAGAGCGCGTATGGTTGAAGCATAGAAGCAGCATTTTCGTAGCAGTAGCAGCATTTCAAAAATCAAATGAATAATAGACATGTTACAACAGCTAGCGCGAAAAAGAAGAGTTGATATCTGGGCACACTTCACGTATGACACTAAGGACAACAAGACAGCCTGCAAACCGTGTGGAGCCAAAATATCCGGAAAAAACACCACCGGCATTTGCAGACGACTCATCCAGAGATACATGCGAAGGTAAGCATGCACGCTAAGCATACAAGGTTATTTTTTATTTGATTAACCGCCGTGTTTGCGCTAAACTTTCAGGAAGCAAAGCCACAGTTAATCTTTTTGAAATTCAAAATAAAATACATGTTTTGTATCTGTAACTGTTCAATCTGTGTCTAAATCTAGATAGATACTTTATTGATCCCCAAGGGGAAATTCAAGTCTAATTCAAATCTAGACTGAGACTAAACTAAGACAAACTCTTTTGACATTTAGTCGACAAAAACTAGACTAAGACTAAAAGATTTCAGATGACTAAAATATGACTAAAACTAAATGGTGTGTTATTCAAAAGACTAAGACTAAATCAGAATTTGCTGTCAAAATTAACACTGGTTTAGCGAGGTTCGGTTGTGTCTGGTCGATCTGGTTCAGTTGTGCGTGCAATTTCAGTCACTGTGCTCAGACTGATCTTGGCCATCGCCCGATCTCCCGGGGAAAGTAGTTTTTATTGTCGGTAGAGTACAAATTTCATTTTTGCCCGCCGGGCAGTGCAATGATCGCAAAAAAAATTTATTTATCACTCAAAATTACTTTAAAATCACCGACATTCGATGAAAACGACCCAGAAGCGTTGCTGGCGCCATTTTTGTTGTTTTGTACACATTCTCGCGTGATTTGAAAAAGCCGCGTGATTTTCCACTAGATGGCGTGATTCAGCTCTTGGGGAGAGAATTCTGCAGAGCAGCAGCTGGATGATGAATTTAATCTATACTATAATACACGCTAGATTAAAAATGATCAGTCAGGGATTAGGAAAATAATAATAATAATTTTATGCGCACAGTGTAAATATTTCTATCTTCTGTACAGTGATGCAGGTCATACATTAAAAAATGTTCATTAAATGTTTTTCTCTTAGACATTGGAGAGGTACATTTAAATGTTATAGAGCTAAACATGTTAGATTGGTGAGTAGTAGTAGTGTAAGTTTTTAACCTGTCATGTTTTTTTTTATTTTTAACATTACAATTTATATTTTTCCAAGCACACAACAGTTTAAAGCAAAGTTTAGTTTGAAAAGAATGTGCAGGAAGGATTGAAAAGCATGTTAACACGGTAATGTAGGCTTGAGTTCATTATCTGACGCATGCAGATACACACCAGGAACCTGGAAACTTAAAAAATACTGAATTACAAAAAACATTTAGAAAACAAACATGTTTCATTGATATATATACAAAAATGAATATTAGGAACTATATTTATCAAACATTATACTGGGCAAGTAAAAATTGTTTCTGGGCAAATGAAATGTGAAAGTCACTTGCCCGAAAAATCCTTAATGTAAACCCCTGCTAAAGGGCAGTGGAAATTGGGCTTATGTTTTAGTAATGAGGGAACATTTGACCAGAAGTTTTGGTTTTGGATCCGTTATAGAGTATTTATTACATGACGCCTGTTATACCGTCGTGGTTCTGACTAGTTTGTTTTTTCCCCCTCCATAGAGAAATGTCTGTGTGAATAATGTTAAAGTGAATTAAAAACTTTTCAATTAGTGGGGAAAAAATGCAGTGTAATCAACCAAAACTTCCGCGACCCCCATGCAGTACCTCCGTTGACACCCTAGGGGTCACGGACCCCCTGATGAAGACCGCAATCTAATGGATTTAGGAGCTTCTGGCTGCTGAACATGTTCAATGGACCAGAGCGTTGTTTACAGCAGGTTCTGACCGCATCACATCAAGGTTGGTTCATTTCACTTTACTCACGGAATCAGACAAACAGGAAGTAAAACTTATTCTCTGATGGGAGGGCTGGGTTTCTGCCAAAGTGATGCTTTTGTTCTAGTTAAGGAGGTTGAAGTGGTGATGAAGGATAAATCTGTTTTGCTCTGATCCAGCAGCCACCCTGTGCCTTCCAGGAATGTGGCTCCGCCCACCAACATTCCTCCTGGCATGAGGATCTGGTTGCTGTGTTTACCTGCAGGTTGTAGTAACGTGTGGTGAAAGTCAGATCGATGATCAGCCCCAGCTCCTGGTCGTCCTTCTGCACAGCGTCCAGCAGCTCCCAGGGGCCAAACGCCTCAGAGCAGGGCAGTGTCCTAGTCAAAGCCTGAGCAGGAGCAAACAGAGAGACTTAGTGGTCAAAGCGGAGCGGTTCTGGTCCTGCAGGCTGAGGCTGACCTGTTTCAGAGGCACTTTGAAGGCGATGAAGCGGGTTCCTTTCAGTCTCTTCCCCACGGCGCTGTAGTCCTGCCATCTGTCAGACACAGACACCATCACAGCATCCAGAACCAGACCTGGCTCCACTAGAAGGTCTGGGACTGATTTATTCAATCACACCCAGACTAAATGCTTCATTACAATGTTTACAAAAAGCTAATAAATCAACACTTAAAGCAGACAGAAGCTCAGGTCCAAAATAATCCAAACCTCTGAGCATCTCTGATTTTCCTCTGTTTAAAATAAAGCTTCAGACATTTTGGGAACAGGATCCAGCGAGGGACAATTTCCCCCAAAAGTCTCTGATCAGAAGATTGTTTTTTAAACTTTTTATTATTCTTATTATTTACTTTCATTTCACATCAATCAAACAGCTGAGGATGATGAGGAGCACAGCTCTTCATCCTAAGGTCTCACCTGTCCGGGATCTTCCTGGACATGTCCTCAACTTCAGTAGAATAAAGATAAAAACCATAAACAACTCGGACTGGACCACATGGAGACCCGCAGGAACCCGGTTTCTGCTTCGTTTAGCACGGACTCCTTTCCCTGAAACTCCTCATGTCCTCTGCGTCTCTGCCGGTTTGTCCCGCTGCCGCTTCAGTCAATAATATCTTCCGTCTGTCGCTGCTTTAGAAAACAAAATAAAAACTGAGCAAAGTCGAGAACAACTTCAGGCGCATTTTACTGACGTCACACTGATATTCACACGTCACAGCCATAGACATACGTAGACGTCTCATTGGACGCTGGCTGATGTGCCTAGAGGGCGGCCATCTTGGATCAGACCACAGCTGCTTTCAGAATGAACAGGAGGCTCCTTAGATCTCATTTTAATCACATAAAGTCAAGTCATAGATAATATTACAATAATCTCTGACATTTCACAACCCCTTAAAAGACCAAAACTAATTATAAAATGACCTTTCCGTTAGATTACACAGAGTTATTCAGATTAAAAACGATTTAAACGGAACTAAAACTGGATGATATATATATATATATATATATATATATATATATATATATATATATATATATATATACAAATATATATTATATATAGTTACATTTGTAATATATAGTTACAAATAATATATTAATCTATTACAAGTTTATGATTTACTATTATATATTTATTTAGTATATTATTATTATTCAGTATTTTTAATGATTGGTCTTTGATAATGAGTATTATGATCTATAAAGAAAACAATTTTGTAATGTGATTTACAAAAGAGAGTAAATTATAATTTTTTTTTTTTATCAGTTATATCCAGTGATGTCTAAAGTTCACACATCTGTTACTTCAGTAGAAGTATAGATACTGCAGTTTAAAATCCCTCTGGTAAAAGTTGAAGTACCAACTTGACCTCTTTACTCAAGTAAAAGTGAAAAAGTATGTGCTCCAGAAACTACTTAAAGTATAAAAGTATAAAGTAACCTTTAAACAAACAGCCAGATGCCGCTATATGAATTGAAATTTTAATTTCAATTCATATGGAAGTCAAGTCATAGATAATATTACAATAATCTCTGACATGTCACAACCCCTTAAAAAGCCAGAACTAATTCTAAAATGACCTTTCAGTTAGATTACACAGATGTATTCAGATTAAAAACGATTTAAACTGAACTAAAACTGAACTAAAAAAGGTCGACAACAGACGGAATCCAGGTAACAAGTACAAATACTTCATTACTGTACCTAAGTACACTTTTTAGGAATCTATACTTTACTCTATTACTTATTTTTCTGCCTACTTCTGACTTCTACTCATTACATTTTCACACAAGTATCTGTACTTTCTATTCCTTACATTTTAAAACAAACGTTACTCGTTACTCTTGGTTTAATGTTTCTAAATATTTATTTCCCGTCATGTGCTCCATCCAATGCAGATCATTGGCTCCACCCACATCTAGTGAAAACTAGTGTGATTGGATGGGTCGTATAACGCAAACGCTCATTGGTTAGCTAAAGGAAATCATCAGAAGCCAGCAGGTGTTCTTCAAACTGCTAACGTGAATTGTCTATGCCATGCTACAATGTGGGATTCAGAAAAAGATGTTGAAATGTCTGAAAGGTCGGACACAGGCGAGAGCGTATCGGGAGACGGAGACCAACCAGACCTCCCTCATCCTGGGCCCTATCTCAGAGAATTTATAGAAACAGTCAAAAAATTGAGCTTTCAGTTTCATATAGCGGCATCTGGCTGTTTGTTTAAAGGTTACTTTATACTTTTATACTTTCAGTAGTTTTTGGAGCACATACTTTTTCACTTTTACTTGAGTAAAGAGGTCAAGTTGATACTTCAACTTTAACCAGAGTGTTTTTAAACTGAAGTATCTATACTTCTACTGAAGTAACAAATGTGTGAACTTTTGACACCAATGGATATAATTAATTTAAAAATAATTATTATTTATTCTCTTTTGTAAATCACATTACAAAATGTTTTTCTTTATAGATCATAATACTCATTATCAAAGAGCAATCATTAAAAATACTGAATAATAATAATAATAATAATAATAATAATAATATACTAAATAAATATATATTAGTAAATCATAAACTTGTAATATATTAATATAAAACGTTCTGTTTATTATAATATTTATGTGCGAAATATATTATATATATATATATATATATATATATATATATATATATAGTTTTAGTTCAGTTTAAATCGTTTTTAATCTGAATAACTCTGTGTAATCTAACTAAAAGGTCATTTTAGAATTTGTTTTGGTCTTTTAAGGAGTTGTGAAATGTCATAGATTACTGTAATATTATCTATGACTTGACTTCCACGTGATTAAAATGAGATCTAATGAGCCTCCTGTTCATTCTGACAGCAGCTGTGGTCTGATCCAAGATGGCCGCCCTCTAGGCACAGCGCCTACTGGTGGCACACTGGCAGTATGACAGTAGTCTCCACAGGAAATAGTGGAAAATGTCTCAAACAAAAACAGAATCTTCTGAGTAAATCCACCGGCATATTATTAGGATAATTTAAAGAGGAGAAAAAAAATTGAATTAATATATTTGTTTTTAAAGTGGCATATTTACGAAAACAAATAACAAAATACGAGTAAAAACACACAAATTAATGAGAATCTAAGTAAACAAATTTATTGCATCATTCATTTTTTCTTTAAAAACGTCCATGAGGCCATTTTGCCGTCTCATTTAATCGCTAAAGCCCCCAAATAACAATGCCTTTGCATGTGCTTTATGTTATCAAATGTACATGTTTAAATCTTGTATATTTTCAACTTTTTCTCCTAAATTTGCCTGTTTCTTTCTTACTAATTTGCTACTTTTTTCTTTTATTGTCTATTAGTATGTTTTGATTTGGAACGTTTGCATGTTTTTAGTCATAAATGTACATGTTTATTCGCTTACATTTGTTAGACCTACTTGTCTCTAATTCTGCATGTTTATTATCACGTAAATTTCTGTGTTTTTACTCATAAATTTGGTTGTTTATTTTCATAAAAATATCCCTTTGAACTAAAAAATTTTGAATCCAATAATTTTTTTCCGTCTTTGAACGACTCTAATACGTCTAATAACTGCCCATTCCAAAGGGGGGGACCCGTTCATCCGTTTCTATTGGCATGTTTTCTTAACTAAAACCAGGCTTAGTTGGGCTGCTGGATAAAACCTGGAACTAAACGCTATTTCTGACATTTTGAATTGAAAAAGCTTCCTGGATGGAAGAGAAACGTCTTCAAACTTGGAAACAAAGTCCAGTGTATTGTTTTTGAACATTTTTGGAATGGCCCCAATATGTTGTCATAGAATCCAATCTTATTCCTGTAAACAAAGGTTTCCTTTTAAAATGGTGTTACTGGGTTGTAGCAATTCCCAATCAGCCTGACCGACTGGGAATAGCAGGACTCCAACAAAATATCCTAAAATCCAGAATCGGATAATCTTTTACCAATAACATATTATGCTTCCATTGCAGCCTTTAGCTCATCCACAGTGTTGGGTCTTGAGTCTCTCAACTTTCTCTTCACAATATCCCACAGATTCTCTATGGGGTTCAGGTCAGGAGGTTGGCAGGCCAGTTGAGCCCAGTGATACCAGTAAAACCATTTACCAGTGGTTTTGGCTCTGTGAGCAGCTGCCAGGTCGTCTTCATCTCCATAAAGCTTTTCAGCAGATGGAAGCATGAAGTGCTCCAGAATCTCCTGATAGCTGCATTGACCTTGCCCTTGATAAAACCCAGTGGACCAACACCAGCAGCTGACATGGCGCCCCAGACCATCACTGACTGTGGCTACTTGACTCTGGACTTCTGGCATTTTGGCGTTTCCTTCTCCCCAGTCTTCCTCCAGATTCTGGCACCTTGATTTCCAAATGACATGAAAAACTGAGCAACAGTCCAGAGCTGCTTCTCTGTAGCCCAGGTCAGGCGCCTCTGCTGCTGTTTCTGGTTCTAAAGTGGCTGACCTGGGGAATGCGGCACCTGTAGCCCATTTCCTGCACACGCCTGTTCATGGTGGCTCTGGATGTTTCTACTCCAGACTCAGTCCACTGCTTCCCCAGGTCCCCCAAGGTCTGGAATCAAACCTTCTCCACAATCTTCCTCAGGGTTTCCTCTTCTGCAGCGTTTTCTGCCACTTTTTCCTTCCCACTGAGGCGCCTCAATGCAGCAGCACTCTGGGAACAGCCTATTGGTTCAGAAACATCTTTCTGTGTCATAGCCTCCAGCTTCAGGGGGTCAATGATGGCCTTCTGGACAGCAGGCAGGTCGGCAGTCTGACCCATGATTGGGTTCTGAGTGATGAACCAGGCTGGGAGTTTTAAAGGCCTCAGGAATGTTTTTTAGATGTTTAGATTTAATTTATTGATTCAGATGATTATAGCTCGTTTAGAGACCTTTATCAGGATACGCTAATTTTGTGAAATAGGAATTTTGGGTTTTCATGAGCTTTATGCCAAAATCATCTGTATTAAGATAATAAAAGACCTGAAATATTTCAGTTAGTCTGCAATGAATCTAAAATATATGAATGTTCACGTTTTATCATTACATTATGGAAAATAATTTACTTTATAACAATCTGCTAATATTTTGAGAATGGCCTGTATTTTTAGTTTCTTTGTGTTCTGTGTCTTTGTAGTTGATTTCTACCAGTGCTGAGTTCTTTAGTTACACTCTGTCGCCCCCTTGTGCTTGTTTTCTTTCCCTTTGGCTTCCTCCTAGTTGGTCTTGCCCACACCTGCTCCCAATCTGCAGATAAGCCTGTCTAGGTTCAGGCTTCCCATATATACACCACCTCTGCAGTCACTCAGGGCTGCTTTGTTGCTTCCACATCTCTGGCTCCCCACGTGAGTTCTCCTCTGACATTTTCTGTTTCTTTGGTTCTTTGTATTTTTGGACTCACCTCTGATCGCTGCATTCGGGTCCTCAAAAACCTCAACTCAATCATGCAAACACAGATAAAGTACAAGCAGGGAGCAGTTGACCTTCACTGACCTTGAAGAGATTTTTAGAATCTCCTCAACCCCGCTGACAAGCCTTCTGGCAGGGCTGCCCACTGTCAGTGCTCCTGCTCATTACCCCTTTAGAGAAAAGCTGCTTCTCCTCCACATCCAGAGGAGTTAGCTGAGCTAACTTGGACATCTTTTTCAGATCCCACCTGGACGCCTCTCTGGAGGTTTTCCAAA